AAATTAAATTGAATCAAATTTTAGAGAATCATCGATGAATATTAATTCGAAAGAATTAAAAATGAAATTTACCAAGATGATTGCTCCCGTTTCGATGAATGATTATTTAATGTCATTTTAAAATAATTATTATTATAAAAAGAAGATCAAAAATGTGTATGAAAAAAAACAAGGATATTTTATTACTCTTAATAAATGGAAAGAGAAATACGAAAATTTTTTCGGTTTTTTCTTAACAAAGTAACTATTTTCAATAAAATTGAATAAAATTGAATAAAATTGAGCAGCAAGAAACTACAAATTTTATAAATAATTCAAAGAAGGATTAATCGATTGAACAAAAGAAAAATGAAGATTGACGTCTACTTTCTCATTTCACGAAAATAGAAATCTCTGATAAATCGTGTTACTCCGATCGATAAATTCATACCTTTTATGCATAATTGCAGAAGTGATTCACGATACCACCGTCCTATATATTCGGAATGCAGTATTTTCCAGTAACAACATAAGTGATCATTCATTATTGGTATTTAATGCATTGGTATTTTGCATGGCAATTAGTCTCGTGATTGTTAGCACGTATGCTTTATTTCGATGCGATTAAGAACGGCGTGACTGATTAATCGGTGCACGTTTTGTTCTACGAAACTCGAAATAATTGTTATCGACATCGGATCATCATTATCGGATGATGTACAATTGTCGAAAATGTGTTTTCTTTTTTTTTTTTTTTATTTTTAACAAAAGAGAAAAATGTCGCGATAGAAGTTTTATGACGAAAGAAAGAGATTTTGGTAAATTTTTGTTAAACAATTGTATTCTGAGTGATCATATACGTACTTAACAGCATTAACTCTTAACTGACATTATCCCACATGTTAAGACAAATTGTTTAATTTTGGAATTTTTAATTTCAATCAGCTGACGCTATTTCAGGGAGAGTGGAGGACAGACATATTAATTTGAAGATAAATTACATAATTTTGAAGTTTTTTTTTTAACTTTATTTGACTTTATCATAGAAAATGTAAGATATTCTAAATATCAGCATACAAATTACTACAGTCACCTATATTACCAACTTATATTGCTACTTAAGAGTTAATATAAAATAGTACATTTTAAAATAAATACAATCTGAACAGACTTTCATTGTACATTTAGAATATTGATTTGTATTCAAAAAATTCATCCACCTGGTTCTTTGAAAGATATGGTAGAATGATATAAAAATGGTACAGACATCAAATGATCTCTCGCATCTAGACGCTTGTATCGTTTCTATTTTGAAGATTTTATTGATTCTGAATACTCTAAACAATACTATATCGAAAGTCAATATTATTTACACTATTAGAGCTAAAAAAAATTTTAGCAAGTCGAAGTTCGCAAAATTTTCGAGAGATTAACTTTAGTATAATACCAAAGTATTGTTTTATAATATTTGTCAATTTCTTAACAATAATTGCGTTCTTTTCGCGTATCTCTCGTCGAATAGAAAACTCCTGTTAATGGAACTTGGCAGAAGTGGATTTAACCGAGTTTGCGCCAGAGTTTCTTGAAACTGAACCTGGAACAAGGAAAATCACACGAGTCATTTAATTTTACGTTCTACGAATACTCCGATAATTTTACCACATTCATGACTTCTTCGAATCATATTCATCGATATCAATCGAAACTGAGGAAAGTCGAAGTACTTCGAGGGAACTGAAATCACATACTTGCGACAAACGCAGATTCCTTTCTTGCAGCGGCCTCCAGCTTTGCCCATTCTGAGACAGTTAGCAGCGCAAGCAGTTCTCGCAAGCTTCTTTTTGAAAGAGAGAAGGTCGCAGGTCAGTCTTTTGTGTCTGTCAGCACGCTCCTCGACACCAGGTAGTTCGAGAGGCTCGTACTCCTCCTCTGAAATTTAAACATCGTCTCTAAGCCTTCCGTCGTATGCTTCGTAAATGAAACGCGATAATTCGAGGAGGAATCGTAGATCAACGATCACGCTTCGATATTGAGGAAGATGAAAATGGTGTAGCATTTAACAGCTAAGAAGATCCGTTTTTGTTCGCCCGTTATCTCTCGAATACATTCGTCGTTATATAGTAATCACTGAGAAATCGTCGAAGAAAAAGGGATTATTTCTATTATAAAATATATAAATATTTAAATATTATTTGAAGAATCTGCAGGAGAAAAGAAAGAAATGTCATTTCGCAGGGGACGAAAATTTATTTTTCTATATATAATGCTGTGACTTTGTATTTACTCGTATATCAAAATAAGTGTGAATTTCTGAAAATTTTAATTAGCTAGTGATAAGGCGCGCGTTGAAAAACTGATGAACTCAGAATTAAAGTTAACATCCTTTTTTTTCCGAGGACCTTTCATTGACTAAATGGCGAGTATGTTTCTTAATCAAACAGCTAAATTGTTATTTAGTTTTAATTAAATGTAAGGAGAATAAAATTTCTCAAGAGATTTTGATTGTTGAATTATTAGTCTGAGGATCTTCAAGAATTTCTGAAATATATCGAGATAAAAAAGTAGTCAGAACGTGAAATATATAATTATTCCAAGTATAGTTAGCAGATGAAACTATCCAAACAGTC